AGACTCTTCATCAGAAATGGGGGAGGGGAAGGGGGTTCTGAAATAAATAGGGAGCGAGGGGGAGGCGGATAGAAGATGGATAGCGGAGAAGATAGGTGGAGAGGAAACAGACAGGTCGAAGAGGTGGGGATGGAACCAGTAAAGGTGAGTGTAGGTGGGGAGTTAGGGAGGGAATAGGTCAGTCCAGGGAGGACGGACAGGTTCAGGCTCTGCACCATGTTGTCTCGGATTCTCCAGCATCTGCAGTTCCTGCTATCTCTGATTCAATTTTAACCTCACTGCGAAGCCTCTTCTAAGGATGCCTAGCCTGAAGAAGTTACCCTCCTCCCTCCGGACAAACCTCATGGAATCTCTCTCCCACTGCAACTCTCTCGTAATCTCTTCGGCCTTGAAACTGCTCGACCATGTCCTGAAGCAAACCAGGTACTACAGCCATATCACCTTTCTTAGTACCTGCCTACGGAACCAGATCATCCCCAATGGACTACAGTCCACATTCAGGCCTTCCCAATTTGGCCCCAACCGTGACAATATCTACATTCATGGCATTGAGACCTGTCTGTCCTCCCTGGACTGACCTATCCCCTCCCTAACTCCCCACCTACACTCGCCTTTACTGGCTCCATCCCCGCCTCTTCGACCTTTCTGTTTCCTCTCCACCTATCTTCTCCTCTATCCATCTTCTATCCGCCTCCCCCTCTCTCCCTATTTATTTCAGAACTCCCTTCCACTCCCCCATTTCTGATGAAGAGTCTAGGCCCGAAACGTCAGCCTTTCTGCTCCTATGATGCTGCTTGGCCTGCTGTGTTCATCCAGCTCTGCACCTTGTTGTCTCGGATTCTCCAGCATCTGCAGTTCCTGCTATCTCTAGAGGGAGAGAATGGGGTTTATATACAAGGGAGTATCAACTATGCTGGCTGTGAACCACAAGCAGCATAGCTTTATGGCTGCCATTCCCATCACATTGCTCATAAGGGACAATGCCAGATTGTGCATCTGAACAAGTAGTGGCAATGGTCTTTTAAAACAGGCACAGTTAAGGGATGGCAATCTTTCGATAGATATCCAGTGAGCGGTAAAATGGGACTAGAGTTCGATGAGAGGATGTCATAGGGGTGGAGTAGGTAGCTAATGAGGTCAGTTTGGTAAGATTTGACAATAAAATTCCCTTGGCCACAAGGTGAGAAACCCTCCAGAAAACTTGATTCAATTCTCACTTATCCAAAAAACTTCAAGATTCAACCCATCAACTCAATCTGTGGATAATCACAACCTCAGGCACAACTTATATTTGTGAAAAGCCTGTTCAATTTACTCTACTGCTGACACAGCAGAACAGAAACATTTCTGAAAAACATACCTTAACAGCCAAATTTATAAATATTTGTCTTTGATTAGTAACAGCAGAACTCTGTACTTGCATAGTACTGCTTATGTGATTTCTATTTTGTTTGGCCTGAAGCTTCAGTTCGATATTACTAGTTATTGGTACGGCTAGACTGAATTATTGAAGTAGTTGAAACAATACATCAGTACAGCTGGATTCTACGTAAGTACAATTTGTTATGGTTGGAAAACTGTATTGCTTTAGCTGTTTGGAAGCTGTTGTGAATAGACATCTGTTTTGTACAGTCAGTTTATCCTTTTTCATTTCTCGCTACCACAAGGAGTAATTGATACCATCAATACATTGAAGGGGAAGCTAGATAAAAATATGAAGGAGAAAGGAATTGAAGTTATGTTAAAAGAGTTAGATGAAGCAGGTTGGGGAAGGTTTATGTGGAGCATTGCTATGAGCATGGACTAGTTGGGCAAACAGCCTGTTTCTGTGGTGTATATTCTGTATGATTTAATGTACAGTTGTTCCCCTATGGTGGGACAGATGGAACACTGTGATGAATTGCATATCTACATCTATAGAACTACAGTCTGCCCAGGTTACGATTATACACTTTAACAGTAAAAACTCTTTGATTTCATTTTGGATGTAGTCTGTTAACAATGAGAAACCCAGACCAATAAGTTCAAATCTCACCAGGGTGAATTTTAAAATAGATTTTAACAGTCTGGTGTCTTGTTAGCTGCAGCAAAATAAATAACCACAAAGACTTGCTTTATTTAAACAAAAAACCAAACAGTTCATTAATGGTCTTCAGAGAAGGAGGGCAACCACATTCAATAAACTACTCTAAAACATTATGGACACACTAAAGGCAAGGTCCACAACCACCTTCTCAAAACAATTGGGCATGTTTGATAAATCTGACCTGATTGAGAATAGAACGTAGGTCTTAGGAGCAGGAGTTAATAATTGATGCCTCAAACCTGTTCTGCCATTCAATGGCCTCCATTCCACTTTCCTGTCTGACCCCTAAATTGTTTGGCTGTCTTGATGGATATGTGTCCTCCACTGAAATATTACCCACTGACAAAGAATTCCTCAAACAGGAGAGCCTGCCTGGATTTAAAAAGTGGATTTGAAATTTTACAACAGAGGGTATAGTTTGTGTTAAAAATGCTTCTCCAGTATTTACATTTGTGCCTTTTTGTGTGTTAGTTATGCTGTGTTGATTAGAATTGTTCAAATCTGACTTTGATATGTGGGAGACCATGACTCACTTGATAAAGAATTTGAACTGGGATGTAGTAATATGGTTGCTAAGTGAATAAAATAACCTTAAAAACCTGTCAGAAATTCAGCCTGGGTTTGTCTGATGGTCAAGATTTGTTCTATGTGTTGAGGTGCAAATTTCAGTTTTAACAATCAAAACCATCTGTGTTCCTTTATTTTCAAGTTTTCTTCCATGATTTAAAAAAAAGAGTTGGAGGGCAAGTGGCCCATATGTTGCAACAGCTTCCAAGTATCAAGAATTTGTTCTTCTAAAGGACATTTGAATGGAATTTAAAGATAAAATTCAATCAGTGATGTGCTGTTGAGTGTTGATAGCTCGTTTGGCAAGGAACGTTATTCTTCAATCAGGATTATACAAGGTCAGGATATTGAAATCACCAATCTGTAAAACCAACGGATCTTCAATCCGTCAAATTAAATTCTGAACAATTCAATCTATATGAAAACAACAGAAAACAAAATATATGCTTTTTATATTGATGAATTCTCTCACCTGCACTACTAACTGCTCATGGAACTATGTGAGCAAATTAGCTTTATTCTGTGTCCAAAATCACTCAGGAAGACTTTATTTTTCGATGTGTTATACTTGGATGAGAAAATTTTAGAAAGGACGTGAATGTGGATGGTCTAGTGTATTCAAGCTGTATTCTTGAATCATTATATCTTTACATGAAGATTCTGGCTGCTTATTCCTATAAACAGTACTGTGTTATAATCAATGACATTCACCTTTACATGCCGACACAAATACTGCAGAACAATTGCTCAGGCTGTCATCAAGTCTTAAATGAATCATTACTTCCTCTAGCTAAACACTGGCATTACCATCCTCCCAATCTGTGACCTCTACCACCTAGAAAATCAAGGCCAGCAGCTGGATGGGTACATCACCACTTGCAAGTTGCCTTCTAAGTCACATGCTATCCTGATTTAGAACTTAATTGGTATTTGCTCACTTTCACTGGATCAAAATTTTGTAACTCCTTTCCTAACAGGCCTGTGGGTGTTCCAGCACCCTCAAAACTGCAGTGGTTTAAGAGACAGCTCACCACCATGTTCTCCAGGGCAGTTAGGGAATGCAGGCCTAGCCAGTGACATTCATAACATGTGTAATAAAATTTTTAAAAAAGTCTCATTTAAAACTCCATCTCAAAACTAAAACCATAACACGTAGCAGTAAAAACTAGCCATTCGGCCTATCACATCTGTTCCACCATTCATGTCCTGCTTTGCTGTTTCAGTTCATCCTTTGTTTCTTCTCACTTTTTAACAAAACGCTTCCCAAACCTTTCAGAATTGCAACCTCCAGCAACTCATGCACCAATGACAAACCCAGCCCCCTTCATCATTTTTTCCTTCACTTCGCGCTGATATCTTTGATTCTTACCTCTCACGATGCCCTCAGATCTTTTTTGTTTGATATTGAATGATATGTCCTTACTGAAAGACACCAAAAATCAAGCCATTGACTAGCACTGTCACTGACCTTATCTTCTCCAGAGGTTTTCCCTTATTGTTTCCAACCACATAGTTCCCAAAATCTCAAACAGCTCGTTTCTACCCACAAACAGGACTACCATGGTGGACCTATCCTTTCAGCCTGCTCCTGCTCTTGTTTTACATAACTCATTTCACCCCACCTGGACCCTTTATTTTTCCATCTCCCTTGGTTCACACTGACCCCACCTATATCTGTGACTCTTCTGATTCTCTCTGTCTCAATTCTCACTTTCCAGGCAGTAGCTATCTCCTCTTCACCAACTCTACTCCCCACCATGATGACATGGTGGCTGCTTACTTCCTCCTTGAAAAGAGAACCAAACAATTTCCAATGAGCACTGCTCTTCTCCACCTGGCTAAACTTATTGTAAGACAAAAAACTGTGGTGGCTGGAAATCTGAAACAGAATTTGTTCTCTCTTTGAGCAACTTCTCTTTTAATTCAACTCAAATAAAAAGTGTTGCTGTGTGGGTTCTAACTCTGCCTGTTTTCTTTTTCTGTGGGGTATCTGGAACATATTTTATTGCAGATACCTCACTGCTTTACTAGTACAATGATGACTGCATCATTACCATTCCTACTTCCACCTTGAATATCCATCCTTCTCTCATTTCTGCAATAGTACAGTCCTGCCTCCTTGTTTCTTTTCCTTAATTTCCCTGTCTCTATTAGCAGAAAAAGGTTCTCAACAAATATCCATTAAAAGTCCTCTACATCCCACAGCTACCTCAATGACATTTCCTCATACATGGCCTGCACGAGGATTCAATTCCATTCTCCCAGCTTCTCTACTTCATTGGATCTATTCTGATGATGCAACTTCCTATACAAATGCCTCTGATTTGTCTTTTTTCTTTAACACTAGATGGGGGTCCAGGATTAAAGAAAATCCAGAGAAGATATTTGAAGCGTATGCTGAAGTAACGCATCCTGACTCCAGTGGTTCAGGTACAGTGTTCAATTTTTTTGATTACTCAGTTGCATCTTATTTGAAAGTAATATACTGGAGAAAGCAATTTAAGCTGCATTCCATGACCAGTGGTTGGAAGTTCAAAACTTGATGGCATTCGGGCATTTTTTTGCAACTTTTTACATTCAACATCTGTCAGATGTGAACTTGAAGAAAGTTATTCCCTGAAGCTAGATACCCCTTCTTTGTCCAATGATCTCACTGATAAGGCCACTTTTAGAATACTGAGTTCAATTCCGGTCTCCCTGCTGTAGCAAAGACGTTGTTGAACTTGAGAGTTCAGAAAAGATTTACGGTGGTGTTGCCGGGATTGGAGGATTTGAGTTGTAGAAAAGGGCTGAATAGCCTGGGGCATTTTCTCTAGGAGCGTCGGAGATTGAGGGGTGACGTTATGGAGGTTTATAAAATCATGAGGGGCATAGACAGGGTGAATAGCCGAGGTCTTTTCCCCAGGATATGGCAATCCAAAAATACAGGGCATATGAGGGGAAACAATTAAAAGGGACCTGAGGTGGAGCTTTTTCATGCAGAGGGTGGTTCATGTATGGAATGAGCTGCCAGAGGAAGTGCTGGCAGCAGGAACAATTACAACATTTAAAAGGCATCTGGATGGGTACATGAATAGGAAGGCTTTAGAGGGAAATGGGCCAAATGCTGGCAAATGGGACTAGATTTATTTAGGATATTTAGGTCGCCATGAATGAGTTGGACAAAAATGTCTGTTTCTGTGCTGTAAACTCTATGACTGTATGACTCCACCTTGATTGACAGAGCCCCTGACAGTGTTCAACATATTTCCTGCACTTCTTCTCTCGTCCATTATCTTCCCTCCCAGACCGTTATACAGTCCTCTCTGTCCTCATCTTTTGTCCTCAAATTTTGTCTTCCTTTATTTTATTCATTCAGAACCTGAGGAAAGTAAATTCTCTGCGACACCCCCGGTCCATTCCTCTATCATACCCTTAAGCTAGTCAATATCTTTCCATTCTTGCGGCATTAAGAATAATGTCCTGAAATATGTTCCACTTCACTCTACACTCTGTGTGGGAATGGTAGAGAATGGCAGTCCAATCAAGAATGTTTTGGCGTTTTTCTGGTTGCAGTATGGTTAATCAAATTCATCAAGTTCCATGTTGATCACACATGTCTTGCACATATTATCAACCAGCAAATTGTCTGTCATTCTCATGCATGTGATCATGGATAAGATGTTCGTACTCAAAGTTGAGAAGGGACCAGGAGTGCAGGAGATGCAACCAAGGATATTGAAAGAGAGTGAGAGTGGAAATTGCAGAAGCACTGGCCATAATCATTCACTCAGTCTTATGGATAATGTCAGAGGACTGAAGAAATACGAACATTATGACCTTCTTCAAAAAAGATTTAGATTTAGCTTTCATTGTCATGTGTACTTGAGTACAGGAATACAGGACTACAGTGAAAAGTGTGCAGAGTCGCCATGCTCTGGTACTATCTTAGTAAATAAAAAAGACAGGATTGAAAACAGGAGCAGAAATAAAAGAAACAGCCAAAACAAAAAAAAGTGTCCAGATCGCTTCACTTCCCCCACCTCCGCAATGAGTCTTGCCACCAGAAAAACAAAACCACAAAGTCCATCCCTCAGTCTGCTAACACTCAGGTTCCCTGGGTCCCTGCACGCCACCGCAACCAGAACGCCACCACCTGTGCCATTGGGTACCCAGGCCCAGCCACGTCCTGGAGTTGTGCCACCACCACTGGAACCGTGTCACCATTCCTTGACGCCATCTTGCCTCCGCTGATGTCATTGCCGCTGTGAGTCCGTGCAGGGCCGATCTCAGAAATGTAGTCGCCATTGAAGGTGCCGGGTTCCGGACTGGGTTCCAACTCGATGCTGGGCCCATCACACTGAAGAACAGCCTCATTCAGCTTACGTTGCCCCTTCCTGAGACCACCATTTCAGCAAAGAAACCCGCCACTGCTGACCCCCTGAGAAGGAACTGCTCCCACCGCTGCCGATAATTTGCAGGACCACTACTGCCACTGCTGACATCTGGGAAGGGGACTGCTCCCACTGACAAAAGAAAAGAAAATGTAGAACAAAAATAAAAGAGAGTGAGAGGGAAAAAAGAAAGGCAGACGGAAGCAGTTGAATTGGGCTCAGGATCTGAACACGAATGCTGCTACTGCACTGCCGCCATCTTGATTTCTGTGAAAGACCAGGCAGTTTGCAGCGCAGGGGTAACTTCTGGAAACAATTATTCAGGATAGAATTGCTAGTCACATAGAAAATGTGGGTTAATCAAGGAGAGACAGCTTGGATTTCTTAAGGGAAAGCCACGTTTACCTAACTTGCTACAGTTTTGTGATGAGTTAATGGAGAGGGTTGATCAGAGCAATGCTGTTGATGTGGTACACATGGATTTCCAGAAGATAATTGATACAGTGCTCTACAACAGGTTTGTCAGCAATATTAGAGCTCACGGAATAAAAAAAAATAGCAGCAATATGGACACAGAATTAGTTGATCGATCACAAAATACAGTGATGCTTATTGGATATTATTTTGTGGCTGGAGAAAGATTTGTAGTGGGTTTGGGGTTCTGGCATTTCCTGACACAGTAATAATTCAGATTCTGGTGTATGGGGAACAGTTTTAAAGTTTGCAGATGATACGAAACTTGGAAACATTACAAACTCAGAGGAACTCAAAAATGACACAGAAATCTTCCTCATTGTCTTCATATTTCCCACTATGGGCTTTTAAACTACAGAACAAGTGACCTGAATAATTCTGATATTTGTATCTTGCACTGAGGTTAGCTGCAGATATGTAGCATGTAAAAACCTGGACATACATAGAAACCTCTGCTTTTAGAAGGGAGCAGAGACATCCATCATCTTCCTGTTAACAATACAAACATGCAAATGATCATCTGGACACTTTTAAAATGTATATTTGCACAGAGATAGAGTGTGCTTTCACAGCCAGCAAGACTGCCTACTGGTAAATACCTGCCTTGGCATTAATGCTCTGTGAGAGTCAGTTTGGACACTGGTTGCTGACTTACACTGCCATCTTTGTGTTTGTGAACATCTGAACAATGTTACTGTTAACTCAAAAATGATAATTTTTACCTTAATGTTAATTCAAAAGTGATATAAGTATAGCTGTATCTTTAGGCAACATGTTCTAGTCTCAGTCCATAACAACAGGGCTACTAATCTTCAGGTTTTTGGATAACATTGTTTGCAACTTTTAACTCTTAAGTCACCTTGTCGTACATCAATCTTAAACTTTGTTTTATTTCTGTGCTATTTTTAATAATCTTTATATCAGGGCTTCATGTTAATGATTGAATCACACTTTCTAAATATATTAAAGAAAATAAACTATTTAAGATACCCTGTCTTTTATTATTATATCGAGTCCAACATAGATGAATTCATCAGCTGAGAGAGTGGTAAAAGGACAGTAATCAGCAGCTTTCTTTACCAATATTGAGCTGAGCTGATGCCAAGATTCTCCATGTAGTCTACAATCAATATTGAAGGTATCCAGAGACTCTATCTCCCATTTATATGCCTTTATATTTCCACTTATAACTCAGACAATCACAGCCTGAACATGAGAGAAACCCACTACAAAATATAAACAACTTGAAGTTCTTTCATTCTGGGTGAAAGTGATTATAAAATTGGGTGGCAAAGAGATTGATTAGGGGCTGCTGGCCTTATCTACAAACTGACTTCACTTGATGCAGCTTGGAAAGTCCATAGTGAAAAAGAATTGACGACTGCAGCTTCTTTTACTGCCACATGGAATACCGTTGCCAGCTGGAAGTTACAGTTTATAATGCTCTAGTTCAGTCTTCCAAGGAGCTTATAGGCAGCGTAAGGCCACTTCAAAGTTTTTGACAGATCTATGAATTTGACTTCAACTTTATGCCATCAGAAAGACCACCTATTTCTGCCCATTGACTTGATTAGTACATACTCCTGGCGTGCCTGCATTCTACTGTGTTAACTTGAAGTTATCCAAGACTTTGCTTCCTGTTTCTTAATTCCACAGTAAGTTGCATTCCCCCAACATCTCTATGCTCATTGACCTACATTTTTTTGCCCAGTCAAACAATATCTTAGAAATTCTCATTTCAGTAATCACCTCCAACCCACACAAGCCTGAAAGATATCTGCACATCTGTAATAGTCTGTAATATAGTCTGTAATACCGTTTGTGAATCCCCAGTTTTAATTGCTCCCCCATTGGCTGTGTCTTCATTTGCTGAGATGACAAGCTCTGGAATACCTCTCCACTCTTCTCTGCCTCTCTACCTTCATTTTCTCTTTTAAAAGACTCCAAACCTACCTCTTTGACCAAGCTTTTCATCATCCAACCTAATATACTTCCAGCATGAAACAGTCTTTTACAATTCTCCTGTGAAATGCCTTGGGAAGTTTCATCTTACAAGTTGTTGTTATTGACTAGAGTAAGCACGCTTGCAAGTATCCCTTAGCTTCCACACACCCTGTAATGCTGCTTCTAGGTAATTGATAGAGACTACAGACAGGGTAAGGATGCTTTCAAGCTTGTTTTAATTTCTTCACAACCCCAAATAAAGCTCAGTGAGTTTCCTTATCCAGCTACTCCTCTTCTTTCCATAGCCATACTGGAGTGACCTGGATTACTCCTATGTTGAACATTGTTCAGTCCTTCCCTGAGTTCATTGATCATTTCTTTAATAAAAAGATCCTGTGCCACATGTTTGCTCCAGTGAATAAATTGCTAAGATGAACTTCATAACCTTAAGAAATGCATGTCTTTTCAATGTTTTTGCAGCTCAGATGGAAAAACAAAGTAGCAGTGGGCAAATTTAGTACTGGTAGATAGCCCAGATTCCTTTCATGGAACTGTTTGAATACAAACTCTCAGACGCCACAGGAAAACAAACACTTAAACCATCACAGCGACAGCCTGTGAAAACAAAGTAGTCATAAG